ACTTTTTGATTTTTTTCTGTTAAGTACACATTGTTTAATATAATAAAACTATAAAATTAAAATTAACAATTTATCAATAGAAACATTCTAAAGAATAAATGTGGGTATTATACACCCATGATTATGTGTCTCTTGGAAATGAGGCAGGAGACAGTGTCCTCATTTATCCTTGGGCTCAGGAGGTTGCACCAATCCACAAATCTTTTCCAGAGTAATTGATTCTCCCCAAGGACTTTATCTCTCAGCAGTTCCTAATGGCACAGAATTATACAAGGAGTTGGTCTGGGGACAAGGATCACAGCATAGGAAGCTAAAAATGATTTACCCCAAAGTCAAAGAATTTTGTGACTCTCTGGCTGATTATGGTTCAATCCATTTCCTTGAAGCTAGGACTTCTTGGGTCCTTTCATGCTAATAGGCAGTCTTGAGCTCCAGAGGACGAGAATTCCAGGCTTCCAATTTTAGGGCCTACAGAATCTTTGTGTCCTGGATCATTTGGCAGAACTAGCAGTCTCCTGTGCTTGTCAGGAAACAACAGTGTTCATCCACTGGCACAGAAAATATTCCCCCTGGTTTCTGCAAATCGTTGTTCAAGGTAAACCAAGAGTAAAGTTACTCCAGTGAAGTCTGTGGGCTTACCTCTTCCTTCACAGCACATTCTAGCTGCAACTTTCCACCTTTTCTGGATTCTCACAATACACAATTAAGGTCCTTCAATGGAAGAGACATTTCAATGGGTCTCTCAAAATTCTTGTTTCACATGAAAGCTCAGCTGGCTACCACATGTTCTTTCTTTAAAGAACGAAAATCAACTTTCTATGCAACAATACAACAATGATGTCACTAACAAAAGGATTTTGTTCACACTGGAATGGGTCTAGGCCTTGGTGTTACTCAGCTGGATGGTACAGGGTGATTTGTGCAATGGTGTCCTGAACATTTCAAAAGAAATTATCCGTGATGTTCAGTGTCAAGAAAGGAATAAGATGGTTAAAAAAGGAAAGGCCAGAGTGACACCAACCTTAACTGGTATAATGCCTGAAAGAAAGCATCTTTCTCTCCCTCCTTGTGTGGCATAAGTGCAATGGGAGCAAAGAGGCCTGGCATTTACTGAATGTTCTCTGAGTGCTTGGGAGGGGCAGACAGAGGGGTTAGAACAATTTTTGTAATGAGTCACAGTCAAATTTACTCTTTAAAAAATGAGGAAAAACTGGATTTCAACCTGCCAAAGATTAAAACTAGACCCATACCTATCACCATGCACTAAACTAAGATCAAAGTGGATTAAAGATCTAAATATTAACACAGAAACACTAAACTTGCTGGAAGATAAGTTAGGTAGAACTCTCGAAGACTTTGGCATAGGAAAAGACTTTATGAACAAATCCTCAATAGCATGGAAACTAACACAAGGAATCAAAGACTGGGATCTCATCTTATTAAAAAGCTTCTGCACTGCAAGAGAAACCACCAACAGAGAGCTAAGAGACAGCCTACAATGTGGGAAAAAATTTTCAGCAACTGTACCTTAGACAAAGGACTACTATCTAGAATATACATAGAACTGAAAAAAATCAGACCCCCCAAATTGAAAGACCCAATTCAAAAATGGGCATCTGAAATGAACAGACATTTTTCAGACAAAGAAGTAAAAGCAGCAAATAAATACATGAAAAAAGTCTTCAGCATCACTGGTCACTCGAGAGACGCAGATGAAAACAGCACTGAGATTCCACCTCACCCCAGAAAGAATGACTGCTATTAAGAAATCAACCAATAACAAATGCTGGTGGGGGTGTGGGGAGAAAGGAACCCTTCTCCATTGTTGGTGGGAGCGCAGACTGGTGCAACCGCTGTGGAAATCAGTATGGAGATACCTCAAAAAACTAGGCTTAGAGGTCCCATTTGACCCAGCTATCCCCCTGCTGGGTATCTTCCCAAAAGAATTAAATCATACCACAGTACCCATATGTGCACCCATGTTTATAGCGACACAGTTCGTAATAGCAAAAGCTTGGAAACAGCCCAAGTACCCATTAACTGGAAACTGGATAAAGAAGATGTAGTTTTTTTTATAAAATGGAGTACTACTCAGCCATAAAGAATGAGAAACTAGAGACATTTATAGCTAAATGGATGCATATTGAGGCCATCCTCTTAAGTGAAATAAATAGGACACATGTGTGTAAATACCGAATAGTTTCTCTATTGTGAGAAACTGAAAGTGTAATTAAGGATACACACAGATGAAATGGCCTAATAACATATTTCTCAGATTGTGTTTCCATAGCATGTCATATGACTGTATCAAAATTTAAATTACAGAGAAGCTTGGCTCATGTGGAGTCTGCTAACTAACTGGAGTTTTTTTCCAGACCACCATTTGTTCAGTGTTGGTTTTGAGGATCTTTCTGAAACAAATCACATCCTCTGGTGTCTTGCTGGTGCTTGAGATGCTTTTAAAAGTTATGTGGAAAAATGTTTAAGTGCTTTTCAGTTTTGTTTTGTTTGAGTTCTACTGTATTTGAATATTATTGTAGGGTTTTTTTCCCTTGCATTGTTCTTCTTTGAATGGTTTTAATTTTTGTGTGTGTGTGTTTGATAATAAAATTATTTTAAAAAATAAATTTAAAAAATGAGAACCACTAATATCCCCTAGGACTACCAACTACCCTTGGTAAAGGCTGTGAAGAGCCAAGATCAAGCTCTCTCCTGTCAATGCCAATATTATGAGCATAGGAATCTACCAAAAAGGGGACCTGCAAACTCTATGACCACCAGAATGTGCAAGCAGAGTCGGAAAAAAACAGAGGTGAGGGTTTCTGCCTACTACGTGCTTCTCTGACATTTCTGCAGGCACTCAACCCCAGCCCTTCGAGGCTTCCTGAACCACACATCCGATCATGTGATGGTGTGGCACTAGGCACCAACAGCAAAGTTCACCTTCCCCTCCATGGCACCAATTCGCCTGCCAACTCACCAGATATCTATGTACTGAGATTCTGAGATTGTGATAGCAGACTCAAAGTGCCATGGGACAAGGACCAAGAAGGAGCATGCTTGCTTCACTATCTGGGCAATCAGCTAGAACTCCCTCACTAACTTGTCAGGCCACTCACTTTTAACCCCAGCCTACCAATGCCCAGACATTGGGAGGGAGGCCACCTTTCTGTTCAGATTGGTGGTGACTCTATTTTAATTTCACTCACTGGTCACCATTTTATACCTTCAGCTTTGTTGCTGAAAGCTCGTACTGTCAATACTCAACAGTTTAAAACTATACCCTGAAGCCTACACTCAGGACTAATTTGTCTACCTGTTTGAAATGGAAAGCTGGGGGGCACACAACCCACGTGAGTCAAGGGCCACCCAGGTTTTGGAGCCTGCACTGGGAGGAGTCCCTTTTGGATATCTAGGCTCCCTTATACTGAGACTGTCCCCACACAGGGGAGCCGCAGAGTGACCTCATCACAAGAACAAGAAGAAAAACCATTATAGGGTTGAGGTTTCATGGCCTGCCACTTTTTCTTCAGGTTAAAACTGTTCCAATAAACTAGGCTGAATCAGGGGGCAGACCCAAGAGGGGAATCTAGGGGGTTGGGAGTGGCAGGAAGGACACAGAGGCTTGTAGGAAACTTGCTAGAGTGGAATAGTGGAGACAGGGACTTTGGGGAAGACAGATGAAACCAGAGGTGATTGTGATGAGGCCATAGGAGACACATCTGGAGAGCTGCAAACAGTGCTGCATGGAGAGTTCTGTGAATGGCAAACAGCAGCTCTCCACTGGAATCGAGTAGCTATGCAGGAAATAATTTCTGCCTGAAATCTGGGGTGCAAACAGAAAAGGCTCAGCTTCTTCAGTAGAGCCACAGAGAAGGGCACATTTGCCATGGTGGAAGAACCAGCAGGAAGCAGAAAATCCACAGGAGCAAAACAGCAGTGAATGAAAGTAAGGCACACTCCATTGCTGTAAGTGACCTATTGTCTGTGGCCACTTTTGCATGATGCAGGCAGAGTTGAATAGTGATGATACGACCAAATGGTCCACAAAGCCTAAAATGCTTCCTAACCATTGCTCTTCACAAGAAAAGTCCTCTTATCTAGACCCTGCCTCTGAAGCTGACAGCATTTGGACAAGAGCCACAGTCTGTACAGGACGGGCCACTGGTGGCAAGTGGAACCCATTAAAAAGTTCCTCCCAGTGAGCCAAGGCCATTTCAGGTTCACAAATGACTGAACAAAAGGTATGGCGACTCCAAGTCCTTTAAACTGCCAATGGCCACTGGAGGGAACGAGCCGAAGGTGCCAAGAGGTGCAAAGCTATGCCCTGATCCCTTCAAACTGTACAGTCTTGGGAACAGCCCAACATCACTCCCCAAAAGGGCCCACACTTCTAAGATACTTTTGAGAAGCTGTTTCACTGAGTGGCACTCCAAGATCTGGTGGGCAAACAAAAGACAACTTTCCAAATGTAGCACCTACTAGTTGATTTATGAAAGTATATTTATTTGAGCACCACCAAGTAATTATCACTGGATATTGTTCTTGCTGCTCCATTTGTGAGCATGCGAGCATGCACACATAAACACATAGGTGCAATTTCTTCATAATGGTTCCAATTCGTTTACACACATAGTTATTTATATAATTTCTGCTGACAATTTGGACAAACAAATAATTTACATCCAAAGATTGATATGTGTACTTTTTAAAATTGCTGTGTGCAACAAGACAGTCTTTCCTCATACAACTCCATTTAAAATATATTCACAGTGACCAAGATGTTCTATTTTCTCCACAGAACTTGTCAGATGTGATCTCCCAGGCCTGCCATACTGAGGACAATGGGTACATGTCCAAGCCCATCCTAGGAGGAGCTCAGAGAAGGAAGAGGCCCCCTAGACCATGTGGAATAGACCTCATCCTTGGCACATGTTCCCACAATCCATATGATCATCTAACAGCACAGTTCCCAGGTACCAGGCCCTCCTGACAGTTACCTTTTCTGATTGTATCCCGGTTTTCTTCCACTCCTCTGTTGACTCGATTCTGTTCTGGCTCAATAGCAGGCCCTTGGTCTTCAAGTTCATCTTCAGTTTCGTCATCACTGTAGGGAACCACTTCATCATTAGGCTGAGAATCTTCCTCACACGTTGTTTCTGAGTCTTGTTCTGTATTCATTCTGCTGGCAAATTGGAACTACCTGGTTGAAAACAAAGGGAAAACAGAGAGAATGCTGACTCCTGCCCAGCTTTTGGTTGAAGCCTACCTGCATCCTGTTACAACACCCTTTAACAGAACATGTTATCCCACTAACATGTAAATAGTTCTAAATAATGACCCAAAAGTTCCACTCAATATGCAAACAAGAACAGCCATTCATTATTGATGAAATTCTTATGTAGCTGGGCTTCATACATCCTAAGCAATTGTCTACCACTGAGCCACACCTCCCACCTTTTAAAGACAGGTACACAAATTTAAGACAAATTGTGGGTTTCCAGTGAAATTCTAGTGAATTTATTTCCAGTGAAATAACTTTAGCAGGCTACAACCAACATTAAAATAAAATGAAATAGACAAAAAAAATAAGAAAATATGGTCCACATAGTAAGTGTAGGTACTGTTCGGTCAGTTTTACAAAAGGGGCACACATAGACATTTATTTGCATTGTGGTATCTATGGAGTTGAGTTTCTTACTATGGATGGGGCAGAGTTGGAAACCATTCCCTTAAGAGTTCTGGTTTCTGCTAATGCTAATACTCTGAGCCTTTATTCTGTGACACATTTTAAATACAACCATAAAGCCTCAACATTTTCTAATAACTTTCAGGGAGCACTCTCTCACCTTTCTAACTTCCACCCAGATTCCCTATCTAGAATTTGTGTGACGACTGCTGCACGAAGTGACCCTACAAAGGTAACAAGGATACCCTTTGTTATATTTATATTGAGAAAATATTTACACAAATACCTCAGATTACTTGAGGAGAGACATACAGCCTGGCATTATTTATATAAGCATCACACTAGCATGTACTCAGTATTGTTACCAATAGTAGCTCACATTTATTTAGTGTTAATTGCACACCAGACCCTGCACTGAAACCACTATAGACAGTGGTCCCTTGAGAAATCCCACACCACTCTGCTGAAGTTATTATTCGTGTTCTCTACAGAGAAGAAAACCCAAACTCTAGGATATGAAATGACTTCACAATAATTATTAAAATTTTGCAGCAAAAATTGCTTTCAAAGGAGAGATCTTCTATATTCTTATTTTTATGTTATAGCTTATTACATATTTTAGTTGAATATAAATTGCCCTGAGTGAAACTATTTTAGCTGATTGCAGCTTTTATACCAGATCTAGTATCTTGGAATTGTGTACCCACAAATGGAGACTTAGGAAATTTTTAAGTATTTATATGAAGATTTTTTTTTCTCCAGTACTAGCTAAAACAGCAAAAGCCAGAAGCAACTTGGCTATCCAATACTTGTGAATTGTATAAGGAAATTATACAATTATATATGTCCTCATACCATAGGAGAGTGCACACTAGTTCAGACTGTGCACAATAAAGTATTTAGTGATGAGGCAAAAGTCCAAATGTATTAAGCTGAAAGGTGAGGTACAGATCAACATGTACAGAACAGTCCCAGTTATTCACATGGAACTTCGTCAGGTGAGCCCACTTTACAGATGATCCACACAAAGTGCTCAACTCAGTTGACAGCTACAGTAAGTCCTTGATAAACATTACCAATTATTGTTTTAAGCTATTATTTTCATAATTAGAAAAGTGTTATTTACAATAGCAAATACAAGGAGTGGTCTGTCCCTTTAAGTTTTTCCATCTCCAAAATTACTGCTAAAATCTATCTGTCCCTCATCAAGAAAAAAATTAGATTATCCTCTTAAAAATATGAGTATACTGCCGGGGATTTAGATCAGTGGCACCACACCTGTCTTGCAAGCACAAGGTCCTAAATTCGATCCCCCGTACCCCACACAAAAAAAGAATGAGTATACTTAGTGAATATACTTAAGCATAGGCATAAAAGCTTTTGCTCTCTGAGCATAATTCTATTCATTTCTTTCTTTATTCCATTTTTTGGTGCAAATACAAATGGCCAGTAGACACATCTACTCTTAGCTCACCTTAATTTTATTTTAGCTGTAAAGTAAAGCACATTCCCCCTTTTCAGATTTTCTGTGGATTTGTAAGTTACTATTTCTTGCAATTTAACACAATTTAGCCTTATTTGTGTTTTTGTAATACACTGTAGTGCCATTTATTCTTTAGCTAATATTTATATGTAATACATTCTCTTAAAAATTCCCAAACTCTTAAAGACAAAACATTCACCACAAAACTTTCAGACCAAAAGTAATTTAAAAAATAGTCACCATTTTACTGAGCTCCTGCTCTGTGAGGAACAGGGCAACTCTGTGAGGTAGGAATTATTATCCCATTTCAAAGATGCCAAGCCTGAGGCTGAGCAGTGAGTGGCAGTCTAGGACCTCTATTATGGCAGTATATAAAACATTCAAAATCTGAAAGCACAATGTAGAAACATTTGATCACACACACACACACACACATATATATACACACACACATACATACATTCATATATATATTACCTTTTAACCATTGTCTTAGTTTATTTTCTGTTGCTGTATATGTCAAAGTACCTGAGATTCATTGATTAGTGAAGGGCAGAGGTTTATTTAGCCCACAGTGCTAGAGACCAGGAGGTTTAAGAACACTGTGCCGCTGCTCAGACAGCTGGTAAAAGTCTTCCTCCCACATCATGATATGCAGAAGGCATGGTTAGACAGAGTAGGCTTCCCAGCTTGGGTCTCTCTTAGAAAGCCACTAGTGCCTTCCTGGGGGCCCTCATGACCTCATCTAATTCTCATTATTTTCCAAATATCACACTTCTAGATACGTTAGCATGTGACTTTGGGGATTAAGTTTAGAACACATGAATTCTGGGACACAAACCCAAGCCATGACAACTATTTTTAAATGTAGAGTTCAGTGGCATACAGTGCATTTTATATTAACATTTGGTAAGGAACCACTTTCAACATTGCTACCATGTTGCCAAATGTTTCCAAATTGGGACAATATGCAGTTCTTCAAGGCTGAGGGAAAAGGCAGACAAACACAAAGGAAAGGATCTGACAACCCACATGTATGTCATCCAAAGCAAGAAAGGCCTGGCATAGCCAAGTGCCTCACCACTCAGGCAGGAGTGCAGACTGAGGTAGTAACCAGGGGGAGGGTGCTCTGTAGTGTGTGTGTAACGCAGACACACATGGCAATATCTTAGCTTTGGTAATTTAGACTACCAAAGGGAAACTAAGAAGCAATCATTTCTTGGAAGCTCTAAATTATAGAAGGAGGGTTTCTAGATTTAAATCTTGATCCTCTAGATCTCTTCTTATTAAAAAGCTTCTGCACAGCAAGAGAAACCACCAGCAGTGTGAAGAGACAACCCACAATGTGGGAAAAAATCTTCACCTGCTGTTCCTCAGACAAAGGTCTATTATCTAGAATCTATAAAGAACTTTAAAAAAATCAGACCTCCCAAATTTAAAGACCCAATCCAAAAATGGGCATCTGAAATAAACAGACATTTATCACACAAAGAAATAGAAATAGCAAATAAACACACGAAAAAATGTTCAACATCACTGGTCATTCGAGAGATGAAAATGAAAACAATGCTGAGATTCCACCTCACCCCAGAAAGAATGGCTGCTATCATGAAATCAACCAATAACAAATGCTGGTGGGGCTGTGGGGAAAGAGGAACCCTGCTCCACTGCTGGTGGGAGTGTAGACTGGTGCAAGCACTGTGGAAATCAGTATTGAGATACCTCAAAGAACTAGGACTGGAAGTCCCATTTGACCCAGCTATTCCCCTACTGGGTATCTTCCCCAAAGAATTAAAAGAATCATAACACAGTGATATATGTGTACCCATGTTCAGAGCAGCACAGTTTGTAATAGCTAAAACTTGGAAACAGCCCAATTGCCCATCAACTGGAGACTGGATAAAGAAAATGTGGTTTTCAAAATAAAATGCAGTACCACTCAGCCATAAAAAATGAAAAATTAGAGACATTTATAGCTAAGTGGATGTACATTGAAGCGAAACTCTTAAGTGAAATAAATAGGACACACGTGTAAATACCGAATCTCTAGTGTGAGAACCTGAAAGTGTAAATAAGGACTAAAAGGTATAATAGATAATGTGAAACAGGAAGAAAAGGGGCAAAGGGGAAGGAGAAGTGGAAGGGGTAGGGGAAAGAAAAAAGGGAATGGAATTAATATGAGAAAATGAAAAAATGGAAACAAAGTCTTTGTAAATAGGGAGGGATGGAGGGGTTGAAGGGAGGGCAGGGGAAGGGGGGAAAAATAAGAACCAAGAGAGACTATGTAAAGGTGCAGATTTCCAATGGTGAATGTCATTATATTGTACACCTAAAATGTACCAATAAAATATGAAAATGTTAAAAAAACATCTCGATCCCTTAGAGGCAGGCTCTATAAATAGTATGGAGACCACTCCAGCACATGGCAGACAGGCATACATTTACTCAGCATCCATTAAGCACCTTCAAAGTGCAACGTACTATACCAAGTCCTTGAAAGTGAACCACAAAGGAACATCCAGGTTATTGATGGGTACAGATAAGTAAACTACCAAAGACAGCCAGAAGATACAGCGAGGAAAAAAAAAAGAAGAAGAAGATACAGCAAGGGCAGTCATGTCTGCCTCGAGAATGCCTCCAACTCATCCCCTCTTCAGCATTATCCTGGCCACAACTTAACTCAGGCTACCAAAATGCTCCAAGAGGTCTCTACCACAATCACCTTCCACATAGCCACCAGGCTTGTGCCGTTCCCCTGCTTCATAGGTGTTACAGGTTAAACACATAGACTTTACTATGTGGTACAGACTGAATTGTGGCCCCACTTTCCCCAGCTCACACGTTCAAACCCTAACCCTGAAGTGTGACTGTATTTGGAGACAGGGGCTATAAGAAGGCATTTAAGGTTAAACAAGGTCATCAGAGTGGGGCCCTAAGCCAATGAGCCTAATATCCTTATAAGAAGAATAGACTCCAGAGATCTCTCGCCCTCCGTGTGCACGTAGAGGAAAGGCCATGTGAGAACACAGCA